CCGTGCGATTGATCCGAAAAATCTGGATCATCACTCGAGGAAGTCGTAAATCAACGTCTTGTATCTCTCGAATGCGGATTGAGTATGAGGCTTTCAAAGCCGGTTGCTTCGCCGCGGAGGAGTCGGCGGGGGAGCGAAAGAGACACGGAAAGAAGGACGGAAGGCGCGAGCGAGAGAGAGGGAGAGGAAGAGGCGCGGAGGAAGGAGAAAACGGATTCACCCGTCAGTCACTCTCTGGCAGACCGCGAGAGAATCACAATGCGAGGCCTCCCTCTTCTCGCCGTCCCTCTTCGTCCTTCTGTCCGCCCGTCCGTTCGTCCGTCTGTCTGCCTGTCCATCCGTTCGTCTCTTCGTCTGCCTCCTGTCACTCTCCCCGCCAGCCTTCCGACGGTTCTCGCATCAGAAATTCATCTCCTCTCCTGTCCTCCTCCAGGTTCTCCTTTTGTTCCTTCCCTGCCGCCGCAGCCGCCGGCTTGTTATTATGTACTGTTTTATTGCCAGGACGTTGCTAAAGTTCGACCCGGTTACTCGCCCCGGTGGGCCGCGCGCGTACTCCTCGCGTCGTTGCGATCCTCTCCGGGATACTCGCGGAGAGAGATAACCGAGCGAGAGTAGTACTACTTATCAAGGATCCGTCTCGGAAGGCGTCCCGACAACTTCGTTCGTTCGCTCGCTCGCTCGTCTCTCGGCCCGACGTCGAGAAGAGACGAGAAATTAACTTCGTACCCCGCGAAGTCGGCCATTCCGCTGGCGTACATCTTTTCTGACGGTACGCAGAGCTCTACATTCTAACGCGGCGGTTATGTAATTACCGGTATCCACTGACGGCCTGTCCGACAATGAGGAATAGAGCGAAGCCGGCTGATGCGTCTGTGTGTGATGGTTCGCGCGCCCGGGCTGATTGCGAACGCTGATACCGTGCATAAAATCATTTTCCGAGGAAATCCCCTTAACGCGCCGACGTCGCCGCACTTTGCGCTTAGATTCCCGCCGGATCGATTTCGTTTCGTGTTATGTAATTAAAACTTGCGTTAATTACTCCCCCCACGTCGCCGGTAATTGATGACGGCGCTTCTGTCCTTTTAAAATACGACGCGCGATACGTGCGCGCATCCTGTTATCGCGTCGATGTGTGTTTTCTTAATTGCGTATTTTAATTGTACCACCCAGCCGTCGAGCGAGTCGGTCGCGCAAAGAATGCCCGGCTATCTTGGTGTCTCTTTTAGAGTTGCCGCTGTGCGGATCCGGGCGCTCTCGCGAACAATTAAACAGACACCTCGCGTTATAAATTCTCCCACCGGGCGAACCTTCGGCGTGGATGCTAATTACAAGCAAACCTAACTGATTTAGCGCGTTGATTGCGCGTAAATCACTAGAGTACACAAACTGACACCGGCGCGGGATGCTTATGCACGTGAAAATTTACGCCTCACTCGCGGCCGCAATTTACGAACATGCACCGAAGAAACCTCGTCTTGGCGCTTTATTTTTCGTCCTGTCATCCGTAAGGCTAAACCGCGCGTTTCATCTCGGCGGCTCGCACCGCCGTCTAACGGTGACAAATTGTTTTCTCGCGCGCTGGCCGATCATTCGAAAGGGACACGCTGGAAAATTGACGAGAATATTCGCGCGTACTTTTTCGCTCATCCACTGTACTGTGTAATAGACTGCGCGGGAGTAGCGATCGATCTCGAATAACAGAGGAAATAGGAGGGACTCGTCACGTGGATTCAGCTAATTAAAATCGTAGCTATCTTCCGCTCCTCGTTGGGACTTACCGGCAATTAGCAACCGCCGATCGTCCACGCGAGAAGCGAGCGTGACTGGTCGGCTTATTCAGGCTTACGACGAGGCTCGCGGAATAGCCAATACCGTCGTGGTACCAGTTAGCCATTGCTACATTACCAACATGTGTACGGCAATATATGCAGGTGTCTGCTATCTATATCCGGAGCTCGTGCGCAGGTTCGTCGTGAAGGTAGTCGAGAAGAGGCACGACAAAGGGGCGAGCAGGAGATAGAGAGGGAGCAGCGACACACGTCCGAGAGAGAAAGGGAGGGAAAAATCCGGCAGATCGTAACGGGCTAGAAAGCGGATGCTCGCCGATAAGACTAATTATTGTTGTGGACCAAGTCGTAGGCGGGCATTCGCGCAGAACCATCGTGGAGATAGCGCGGTCCGTGCACGGCCGCTAATACACTGTACTTCTTTCTAACGTGCATCGGTCCCCGAGTGAGTCAAGGACAGGAGGAGCGGATATCAGCCGGTAGCATCTTCCCGAGTGTCAAGACTCTCGGTACGCTCCCTCGTATCTTACCGGCGGCTACGTCCGGGATATGCAATCCGGTGCGGTTCTTGTTAGCGGCCTGCCAATAGACCCGCACGAACTCCGCTCTCGTGCGGGCATTTGCATTTTCTGCCGAGCGCGACGTCGGCCTTCGATCGATTCCAATCATCACCGGGGATACTTTCGCGAGCCGCGGAATCCTCCATGACCTTTGACGCTATCGCCGGGGATCGTGCGCTGCTAAAAAGCATGTCACGAGCGCCGATAATAAACAATTATCGACGCCTCGCGACTACGGATCGCCGAGTACCGCTCGGAAGGACTGAAATATAGAGGAATAACCCGTGATCGATCTCTTTCGCGATGTGTAACCCGTTGTACGTACCACGCGCGAAGAGGTTGGGATCAGGACGCCATGCGTCGCTTCCGGAAACGAAGCAACGCTCGTTGAAGTCTCTGGCTGGAGACGAAGGTGGCGTGCTGCTACGGTCGCGATTGAAATTTCGAAACGGCGCCGCTTAGCTGTTTCGCCAATACGAGATTTCATCCCATCCGTTCGGAACGAATAACACTAAACAGGTAGAATTGATATATATAAACGATACACTTCTTACGGAAGGGAAGCAAGAATAAGAGAGAGAAAAAGGGAAAGAGGAGGAAAGTGTTTCTCCCTGTCGGAGTACAAGCGATCGTTCAAAGAATTCAATCTAGGACGGTAAATGAGAAGCACTTTATCCTCCTTTCCCTCTTTATTCTACACTATATCTACTTGATAACCGAACGCGCTTGGATCGAAGGGAACAAAATTCCTAATTCTCACGAATCAAATTTTCTTCTCGTAAACCGGAAATCTCGTTCCCTTCAACGAAAACACGTTTAGTTCTTCATTGTCCGGTGGATCCAAACTCATTTTTCGGCGCACGAGTGACGAGTATTCGTAGGTTAAATTCGTCTTGCGCGCTGAAAGCGTCTTGATTTCTCATTACACGCCGAAGGAAGATAGAACGATGCTTCGGATAGCGCGAAAGCGTGAGCAAGACGAACTTAGTCATAACGTCAACCCGCGACTACCTTACCGTGATGACGCGTCGCACAATTGTATCGTTCATCGGGACGTCAGGTAAAGTGTCGCGGTCAACAACGCCGATATATCCGGCCGACTCGATGATAATGACCGGCGTACGTAGCCGGACAAGCGAAGAGAGGACCGAAAGGGCAAAAGATAGACCAGGTCGGGTAGCGGGCGGGGCTGCCCGTCGGTGGTCCGCCCGCTCGGTTCCTCGACTTCTCGCATTCCCCTCTTCGATACGCGCCTGGATCCGAGCGATCCTCCGAGGGTCCTCCTTTTATCTCCTCTCGTCGTCGTTGTCCCGTCGTTCTCTCTTCTCCGTGCACCTACGGCTGGTCCTCCGGCTGGTCCCAACCGGATCGGCCGGCCAGTCGCTTCCATCGAATGGTCCGCGCGAGAGGGTTCCGGAGAGAGCCGCTCCGCACAGAGACAATGGACAATGGGGACATAAATCTGCGTAATTAGTTGCTGATGCTCCCGCGGATCAATGTGCGATCTCCTTTCTCTCCCTCTTCCATGGCCTGTCCGCGAACAAACGATCGTTTGGTTGGTCACTCGGCAAAGTAGGACGGTGCTCCTGGTTGTCCCCACCCTCTATGAGGGGAGGTGTATTGGCCACCTTCCGCCTCTCTCTCTCTCTCTCGTTTTGTTTGCGACTGAGGACACACACGGCACTCCCTTCTTCAAAGAGGATGTGCCGAGAGCAAGATGGCGACCAGGGGGGTTCCGCGTTGTTCCCGAGTGTTCACGTACGAGTCCCTCGGGCGAGCTTATTTTTGTCGCTCGCTCGAGTGCCGCGTGATAATAGGTGAACCGCGAGCTAAACGAGCCCCGAGTTAATTGGAACGCGTTGCGATGCGACGTGAGGTATTTCCGAAGGAAAGAAATGGCGCAACCCCTCACGGAATATCTGTCGACTATCTTAGATCGCGCGTTCTCCCCCGATGTGTACAGTCGCAACGACTATACCGTCGTTCATTACCAGGGGTTCAAATGGAAACGATTTGATTAAAACTCATAATGCAGATGACGGAACTGCTCGTCTCGCCGCACAATACCTTGTCGTCGTCGTCGTCGACGACGTATCCGACGTAGCGCTCGCGTTTTCTCTTTCTTCCTCCCCCTTTTAGGCGTCGTATTCGTCCTCGTCGTTGTCGTCGTTGTCGTCGTCGTTGCCGACGCGAAAGGCTGATAAATGAACCGATAGTGCCATTGTGTTACTCGCCATCTAAACCTTTATATCACTCCTAGGTACTTAGCTTCGTCATTTCTCAGTATCTCCACTCCTGGGTCGTACGTTCTCCTCCGCTCTTCCATCAGGATACGGCGGCTAGCAGAGGGATTTGATTCGCTTTTCAACATCAACGACCTTTATGGGAAAAATATTCGGATATCGTCCACTTGTTTGCGTTTAATATTAATTCTTTTTCCGTTCCTTCTACGTCTTGTTTCTTTTTATGATGCATTGCACATCCCGATGTACAAGTTTGTTTGTCTGCAATTGTATGTGGAGATTTGGCAACCACGCGACAGCACACTCTCGTGTCAAGGAATGTGCATGTTAATACAGAAATAGAATTCCTCCGTCGTGGTTGCGCGCTCGATCGATAACGACTGATCCGTTCGTCCGATGATTTGTTCCAGGGGAGGACGGCGTCGAAGGCTCCGCGCCCGGTACGGACCTCCAAGGTGAGGAGGGCGATTGCGTCGACGAGGATGGCCCCATTAGCCCTAGCGAGAGGGGTTGCGCGCCCGCTGCGAAGGAGGACGAAGATGCCGAGGGAACGGACGAAGAGGATGACGAGGAGGCATCGCCACCTACGCCACCGCCTTCCGCTACTTCGAGATTAAACCCGACTATTCTGAGAGACACGGGACCTCCGGACAGGTAAATTTGGCGATCACACTGAGGAAAAAACTTTTGTTTGTTCATTTAACAAGACACCAGTATTCGGCGACAAATGATTCGCACGTGTAAGATAAGAAGTGACCCCGTGGTGGAGGCAAATAATACAAACTTTTAATTTGCTGCTCTAACGAACACTTCTGTATTGGCTTGGTGATAATTTATTAAAGTAACAAATCATGAGGAACAATCATCAAGGGTAACCTTTCCGACTGACAGAACAACAAAACGCGAAGTAATTCTTCGATCTGTTTTCCTGATAGATCTTCAAGTAGCGAAAGAGTTTTTAACCTTTTACTAAAGGATTGTTCTCAGCGCACATCTCTTCTCTGCACTGGCAAAAAGAAATTGAAATTTCACGAGGTAAACGTTCCTCGTGACACTTTCCACGATATTTATCGGTTAGAAAAACAACGTGATGACGGATACATATTTTAGTGAAACACACCAAAATTTTCTCAACTAATTAGTTCATTTGCTATGGATGAAATTGTGTTCCGCCGTATTTAATCAACTTGAGCGTGACCTTCAAAATCAGCGATCTGATCGTCGTCGTGTGCGAATCAGCCGTGTCGACAGCGCGTCCGCAAACATTGCTCGTCTGGCGGAAAAGGAGAAAGAAAGAAAGAAAGAAAGAGAGAGAGAAAGAGCCGGTGCTTTATCCGCGCAGGAAGGCGTATTATAATAAAGAGCTTAAATCATCGCGAGAGCCGCGCGACGACGCGACGCCGCGAGCTTTGATGTTCACCGTCGTCGGGCGCCCCTCGTGTGTACACGGGCTCGTCGTTATTTGAGAGCGACAAATCGTCACGAGCGTCTCTCGTACACGCGTGTATGCTCGAGGTAAGCGTCGGCGGTAGGGTTAAGCGGTGGTGGAGCGAACGTGCGAGCGAGCGAGGCCCGGATAGGGATAAATAAGCCGGTGTCAGAGTTGATATCGGTGGCTGCCGCGCGCGACGTCACACGGCTAATAGAGATAGGCACGTGTTACACATCGGGCCAACACCAACGACCCCACTGGCACTGCCTCCTAACCAGGGGTGGCGGCTCCTCCCGCCTCCCTACGCCCGCGCCGTCCCGCCAGCCCCCAAAAACTTCCCCTGCATGCGTGGCAGCGGTCCCCTTTCATCTCGCGGCACGCATTCGGCATTCAGTCAGGAACAGTCAGTTACGAGCGAGCCGTCGACAGGTCAGGAACGCCGCTGCGCTGCGCCGTGCCGCGCCGCCGTGCCGCGCATCGAGAGAGAGAGCCGCTCGCACAATAGCCCGCGCGTCGGGGCTACTCTAATCGTTCCGGCCACGTGCTCCCTTTCGATAGTCGATCTTCGCGCGCGGTTGATGACGTTCCGACAGGTATCGATCGCTCCTGTACACCGGCGGCTTTGAGCCGCGCCGTTTTTGCCGACGAGCGGGATGACTAACGTTCGCCGCCGGAGCGGATAATTAATCGTAATTTGTCACGACGGAGGCCCGTTATACCACCTCGCCTCGTGCGCGCATTATCGTCGCGTCGTATTCGAGTATTCGCGCGGCGTTGTTCGACCGTGAGAGAGAGAGAGAGAAGCTCGCGTGGAGGACCGATGTGAACGCGCGCGCGCGCGCACGGAGAGCCGACAAGTAATTTATCGTAAAGTGTGTTTTCGCTCTCGATATAGGCGGTAATAGTCTGTCGTTTCGTCTGTTGTGCGTCTGTCGCGTGTATTTGCGCGGCCGGGAGGGGGGGGGGAGGGGCAGCAGGTATATTGTGCGTGTTTCTCGCGTGCACGCGCTCGCTCACTCGCGCAGCGCGCGACAGGCGTTTCTCAAACGTTGAATTATCCATCGACCGTTACCATCGCGCGCCAACACGCCAACGTCCGAGGCGCGCAGGCTCTATCTATCACGCGAGCCTTTTTTTCCGCCTGCCGCCGCCGATGATTCCGGGTATTCGTCGTTTCCATCATACGCGCGCGGCACGGCGAAAGCTGTTTGCATAGTAATTCCCATGGCGGACGATTATGAAATATTAACGTCACGGCGTCACCTGCGTTGTGCCGCGCGGCGTCGTTCGCGGATCGGTTACAAGAAAATTATCGCACGGTTATGATGATTAACGAGCACCGTCCCGGCTTACAAGCCGACGTTTCGCACTTTCCACAAAACTCGGACAACGCGTCCGTCCGGCGGGGAGAGGAGGAAGGCTCGCGCGGAGATTACAACGCCCGGTGTCCTTTGTAATTTCAGGGAGCCAATGAGTCCGCGCTGTCCCTCGAGAGATTCTCGGGAATCGTCCGGTCCGGCGACCGGAAGCCCCCCACCACCCGCTACCAGGAGCAGCGCGAGCCCAGTCAGTCCAAGTAGTATCGTGCCTCTACCCCTTGGAACTCACCCCCTACTACCACCCCACTCAGCAGCGGTGATGGCGGCGTACCTGCAACAGACCCATCAGCGCCTCCTCCTCGGGCACTCACCCCTGTCGCGCGGCTCGGTGTCGCCTCTGGTTTCCTCCTCGTGTTCGCCACCGGCGGCGACCCCCGGCCTCTTGGTGTCGCCTACCAGCGTCGGGGAGCTCTCGCCGTCGGCGACGCCTCTGCCGGCGGTGCTGGACTTCAGCACGAGGAAAGCGGCGTCTTCCATCGAGGAGGACGAGGAGGAGCAGATATTGAACCTCAGCAAACCGCCCACGCCGTCCTCTTCGACGGAGACGAACAACGGCCCGCTGGACCTGTCGGTGCCCAGCAGGAAGCGACCCGGTCCGGAGGACTCGCCGCCGCCGCCGCCGCGCAAGTCCTCGAGACTGGCGTCGACGGCGAGCAGCGCGAGCCACCACCAGGAGACGGTGCCGGGGGTCGCGCCGTCCAGCTTCGGCAGGCCGCCCGTGGTGTCCCCGTGGACGTCGCCGGTGGTAGCCTCGCATTTCCCCTACTTCGCCGCGGCGGTAGCGGCAGCGGCTACTAGTCAGCAGCAGCTCTCGCCGAAGAGCACCGGCGGCGTCGTGGATCATCATCAGCTGTGGAACGGCAAGATGAAGCCGCCGGCGCCGGCGGCACTGGAGAAACCGTATCAGCCGAGCGAGGCGACGAAGGCGCTCGAGAAGATGAGCGAGCTGAGCAAGTTGGGCGGCGAGGATCTCTTCAGGTCGTCCTCCGGAGGCGGCGGCAGCTCCGCAACGGCCGGCGGCACACCGGCGACCACGTCCAGCAGCCGTCACAGCGCCTGGCAGTCTCACTGGCTGAACAAGGGGGCCGATCAGGCGAAGGACGTGCTCAAGTGCGTATGGTGCAAGCAGAGTTTCCCGACTCTGGCCGCAATGACGGCGCACATGAAAGAAGCGAAACACTGCGGCGTGAATATGCCGGTGCCACCGCCGGCGTCCGGGCTTCACTCGCAGCAGACGACGATGCCGAGCGTACCGCCGCCGCAGCAACCGCACCAACCGCCGACCTCCGTCGGCGGCAACGCCCCGGGCAACAGCGCGCCCAGCAGCAAGCAAAGTCCATCCGACCTGAACCTGCTGATCAAGGAGACGATGCCGCTGCCGCGCAAGCTCGTGCGCGGCCAAGACGTCTGGCTGGGCAAGGGCGCCGAGCAGACGCGGCAGATACTCAAGTGCATGTGGTGCGGCCAGAGCTTCCGCTCGCTCGCCGAGATGACCTCGCACATGCAGCAGACGCAGCACTACACGAACATCATCTCGCAGGAGCAGATCATATCGTGGAAGTCGTCCGACGACGGGAAGAGCGGCAGCACCGCGGCGGCCGTGACCGGCGCGGGGAGCAACGCCGCGGGTGTCCAGCCCGGCGGCGGTTCCGGCCCTCACGGAGGAAACGGTCCCGGCGGCCCCGGTGGCGGCGCCACCAGCAGCCACGTGAGCGCCGTGTTGACGTGCAAGGTGTGCGACCAGGCGTTCAGCTCTCTCAAGGAGCTGAGCAACCACATGGTGAAGAACTCGCACTACAAGGAGCACATAATGCGCTCCATCACCGAGAGCGGCGGCCGCCGGCGACAGACGCGCGAGAAGCGAAAAAAGTCACTGCCCGTGAGGAAGCTGCTGGAGCTGGAGCGGGCGCAGAACGAGTTCAAGAACGGCGACGCCGCCGCCGGGCTGACTCACAGCCTCGGCAAGCACGCCGGCAGGATCACCTGCGAGAAGTGCGGCGAGAAGATCGAGACTCCGCTCTTCGTCGAGCACATACGCCAGTGCATCGGCGCCGGCACGGTCGGCGTCAATCAGCGGAACTTCCTGAAGAACGCGCTCATGTCGAATCACCTCTCGGCGACGCTGCCGCCGGCCGAGAGCGGACGCAAGAGCGTCAACGAGGAGACGTCCTCGATATCCTCGAGGCACCACCGATCCCCCTCCTCGGCGAGCGACGCGACCACGCCGGGCAAGGACACCCCGACGCCCAACGAGAGCACCGCGCCGATCGGCACCTCGCCTTCCGTTCTGAACGCCATCGAGAAGCTGATCGAGAAGAGCTTCGACTCCCGCGTGAGACACGGCACGCCCGGGCTGCACCACGCCCAACCCGGCGCGCCCATGGGCACCAGCATCCTCAAGCGTCTCGGCATCGACGAGAGCGTGGACTACACGAAGCCTCTGGTGGACCCGCAAACGATGAATCTGCTCCGTTCCTACCAGCAGCACCAGCAGCAGCACTACAGCGCGAACGCCGCGGCGAGGAGGGAGCGGAGCGGCAGCGAGTCCAGCTCGATCTCGGAGCGGGGAAGCGGCAGGACGGACACCATGACGCCGGAGAGACGCATCGACCTGTCGTCCGCCGCGAGCCACGAGAGACACTCCCTGTCGCACCACCATCGCGTCACCCCGGAGAAGCAGACCGCCGCCGCCGCCGTGCCCCCCTTGCCCGCTCGCCATCATCCGGAGGAGTCCGGGGACGAGGAGTCCGTCGTGGTGAAGAAGGAGCCCCGGGACGAGGAGGCGGAGGAGAGAGGCGCGAACGAGGAGGAGCAGCAGCAGTCGACGAGAGAGGTGTTCGTGAAGAAGGAGATAGTGGACGACTGCAGGGACGAGGAGGAGCAGCAGAGTTCCTACAATCACCGACGGAGCGGCAGCCTCCACGAGACGGCCGAGGACGGGCGGGAGGTGCTCTCACCGCGTATGAATCCACCCACGCCGCGGCCGACCAGCCAGGTGGAGCAGGTGGCGCGCAGCCCCTGCAGGAACAGCACGAGCAGTCCCACCAGCAGCGACCGATCGGTCACGCCGCGGGGCACGCCCGACACCAAGGCGTCCAGCAGCCTCGGCGCGCTCTCCTCCATGTTCGACAGCCTGTCGGGCGGCGGAGGCAGCGCGAACGTCGACTCCCAGGGACGCAAGACCAGCAGCCATCCTCTCGCGGCGTTGCAGAAGCTCTGCGACAAGACGGAGACGCGGGGCCCCAGCGCGAGCGGCGCCTCGAGATCCTCCGCCGGCTCCGCCATCGGCCCGAGCGGCGCCGGCGCAGGGGGAGTGGGGGTCTCAGGCCCCGGTCCGGGGCCCACGCCCGGTGCCATCCTCGCCTTCAGCTGGGCCTGCAACGACGCCGTCGTCACCGCGGATTCCATCATGAAGTGCGCCTTCTGCGACACCCCCTTCATCTCCAAGGGCGCCTACAGGCATCATCTCTCCAAGATGCACTTCGTCAAGGACGGCGTGATCCCGGACCCGTTGACCATCGGCAGGTCGGCGGCCGCTGCCGCGGCGGCGATGGCCTCCCAGGGCACGTCCGGCGGACCGAGCCGCAACTCCTCGTCGCCGCCGAGCTCGCAGCGCAACAAATCGCCGCCGTTGCCGCAGGCGAACGGCAGCCCGTCGCAGTCAGCGGCCTCTCCCCTCGAGGAGAGCCCGCACTCCAAATTTCTCAAGTATACGGAGCTGGCGAAGCAATTGTCCAGCAAGTACGTATAGTCCGAGCCCCGTAAGTAGCGGCGCCACTTGTACATAAGTGTATCTATACGACTGTAACTAGCGATGTGGTTGGACAAATTTTCACCCCTTCCCCGCGAACACCGCCGCGCCGGACGACGTCGTCGCGCATCCGACGTCTTCGGGTTTATGCTTAAAGAGGCTGTGTCGTGGCTGTACCGGTGCCGGGGGACGGAGATCCCCGCGAGGATACGGGAATATGCTCTCTGATGCCGAATCGCGAACGAGGGAGGGGGGGGGG